CTATTAGCTTATTGTTCTCTAATAGCTTCTTGTTACTAGTAAGGCACTTGTTACTACTAGCGAGGCACTTGTTACTAGTAGATTGATGGGTGAACCGGTGAACCCTCTTTTTCCGGAGGATGTCCTTTACAGAGAGGAATGACAGACCTCATTGTGAACAGCTTGACTTCGGAAGAGGTTGCCGCATGGACACGGGAAGAACAGACTTCGATATGTAACGGTCCAAGAGTTCCTGAGCCACATCAAGTGCCCAGTAAGAGAGAATCTGTGATTTTTGCAGACCCACTCTTCAGGCTGGTGTTCTCAAGGAAAAACCGAGATGTTGCAGTTGCATCAACTGTGAAGTTCGCCATCCCAGGTAACGCCACCTGTGGCTTGGGCCTGGAGACGCGCCAAGTGCTTTGTGGATCGGAGAGCTGCCACCTGGAGGAAGCGAAAACGGACGTGGCCACTGGAGAGGCAGAGAGGCACAGAATAGCTCCACCTGAATAGGCACAAGGAACCTAATAGCGATGGCCTCCACCCTAGTAGCGATGTTCCTTTCGCAATTACCTGATAATCCTTCGTCTGAAAGAAAAGGCATGCACCGATGGCCTCCAACCTAACAGCGATGGCCTCCTCCCCTCAAAAGAAGAAGAACACTTCACTTTCAGCTTCCTTCCATTCGCTCTACGGACCGCCACTCCCGATTCCTGCAGTCTGGATCCTTCTCTTTGGATCACCGACTCCTCGTGGAAAGACCGCACGGGCGGAACGGCCCCACTCAGGCGACCCAGGCACCGCGCCCGCCTCCGAGCGGAGCTGCCACAGCAACGCCCAGTGCGAGTGGCAGATCGGTGACTGGGGAGCCTGCAGCCCCTCGGAAGCGGAGCATCCGCGGTGGGGCGGTGGTCGGCCATCCGCCCAGGAGCCCATCCGCGGAGTCCGGGTAGTGCCGCCCTTTTTGAGCAGGAGAAGAAGGTGACCTCTGGAGTTTCTGTTTTTTCTCCCAAGTCGCACCTCAAAAGTTCCATCTATTCCATGACAAAGCGCGTGTTTTGAGAAGTCTCCATCGGGTTGTCCACGTCATTCATGGTGACGGATGCTTCATGGGAGATGGGGCAATTTCGCATGCACCACCTCCAAAGCTATGTGTTACAGAGTCATGCACATCCCCATGTGCTTTGGGAGACACACTTACTTCATTTGAACCATCTCTCCCACAAGCCTAGCGACAGCTTTTCAGCCCTCCCGCTAGTGAGGAGGCTACAGGATCACGACCGATCCTTTTGCGGAGAGTCACCTTCATCATCATGCCATGTGGTTCACACCCTTGACCCTCCAATCCACATGTCATTCCAATCCTCCACACACACCCACCTCATCGGCACCTCCTAGGCACCTCCTGTGGCTCCGGCCACGCCTCTCGCGCCGTCCAGTGCCCCAGCACCGACGCCGACTGCGCCTGGGCACCGCGCCCCCTCGACCGCCGCAGCTGCCGCAACATCACAGGCCGCGGTGAACGCCGGTGAACGCGAAAGAGAACGGCCGGGGGGGGCCGCGAGTGTCTCATGTAGCTACGTTCCAAGCGTCCGATCGCTCCCTTCGTAGCAATGCCCTTGGTTACCAGTAGCTTCTTGTACTAGTGAGTAGCGACGCCAGGAGCTACTAGTGTCCCTTGAAGACTGTGGGATGACGCAGCTGCATCTCCCCAGGCTGTGCTTGGTCCATCTCCAGCTGGTCCGCCGGGACGCCCTGCTCGCCGTGTGGAGTCGGCCGGAAGGTCGGAGCGACGGAAGGGAGGAATACTATAGTAGTTAGTTAGTTAACAAGCTACTATAGTAGTTAGTATAGGGCACCTTCTTGCTAGTAGCTTCTTGATACTAGTATACGGCACCTGGTTACTAGTAGTAAGGCACCTTGCTACTACTGCTCGGTTCAGGTCGAAAGTGGGAAGAGAAGAAACCCTGCGGAGAATGATCACTTCGAAAGCAAGGAAAGGAAGCAAGAGCTTGCAGAACGCGTGCAGAACATCAGCCAGTCGGCAGTTCAAAATCATGGCATTGTACCATCAAACCAGGCCATGCAAGTCAGTGGATAGACTGGGAACCCTGAAAATCCTTTCAGAAACTCTTGCCCTACCTGGCAGGAAAGTATGATGGTTTGATCAGTGGTCGCGAGACCAGACAGGTTATAGTTATAGCCATGCCCTTTCTTTAACCAGCTGATCATAAATGAATTGGCTGTAAATATATACCCACCAGCATCCCAACAATGGTGTCGGGCTGGTGTAGCTCGTCCCATCCAGTCGATGTGACAAGGGCTACCTCCACGGCTAACTCTGCCGAGGTGTGCAGCCAGAGTTGTGGAGACGGCACTCGGACGCGTAGCGCTGTGTGCCCCAGTGCCTGGGCTCAAAGAAACCTCCCTCTCAGTGCTACGTGTGTGTTCGAGATGTGAAGATGCCTGGGTGAGGGTGCGTCAGACCTCAAAATGGAACCATCTGGGGGGACTTATATATATATATATATATACAGGGATCGATCTTCATTTGATCTCCCATGGCTGAAGATGTTTGTGAGTGTTGCTTCGAAAGCAAGAGTTGTTGCAAGCGACTGGATCAACCTGCTCCTATCTGAGAAAGGAACATGTCCTCGATGTTACTCGTAACGTCCAAGGGTGTCGATTGAAGACTGTAGGCACTGGTCGGCGTTCCCTCAACTCTCACAACATGAAAGATGGTGTTCCTGGGAACTGACTAGACCTGAAAGTGCCCTGAAATCTCAGCGTGGTTGGTCTACGACAACTAATGCATCAAGTACCACAACCTTCCAAGTTCGGTGGTGTAAACGGGATACCCGACTCACCTCCAAGTTCGGCTTACCAGGACCTTCCCAGTGGCCTGAAATCCCAGTGGCGGGTCGGTCACGAAGTAAGGCCGAAAGAAAAGGTCAGAAATCTATCAATCCTGAAGAGGTCACTGGGTGTCGGTCCTGGTAGACTGACGGTGATGTGTTCCATTTGTTTGTTCCTTCATCTTTGCCACAACAAATCACCGTTTGCCAGTCTCCGACTGTCCAGGTGGCGAGGACACCGACTGTATCACCACTGCGGGCGAGCGACCCTCGCTGCTGGAGAGCTGTCGAGAAGAGTTGGGCTGCGCCTGGAGCATCGGGGACTGGTCCAGTTGCAGGGGGACTCAGAGAGGGACGAACGCGCGTCCAGCGCGTCCATCGCACTCGGGCGAAGGCTAAGCCTGCTTGAGAAACTCTCCACTCAACAAGAACCGGTGGAGTTCGTTGGAAGCTGGAATTTTTTCGGAAACTGAGGGAGTCCGGCGACAAAGACACCTCCTTTCCTCCCGCGTTCGGGAATGAAGAGTCTACGTATGGCGTGTTCGGGTGCAGAAATATCAGTCGCCCATCTTGGCAAAAAAGTTCGAGGGTGGGGTGTTGGGCCTTGAAGAAAGGTCTGACTTGGTGACCTGTAGAGTCGGGTGTATGAGTAACAAGAAGCTACTAGTAGCAAAGGGCATCGCCACGTTCGGAACAAGGGCGCACGAACTAGTGTACCTGCCCATCGCGACGCACGAACTGCTCTCTTGGGTCTTTGTGGTATTGAGTGGTCGCCTTTCTACCGCACAACCACTGTGAAGGTGGCGTGTGTGCAACGTGGATGCGACTCGTGTTGCTTCGAATGCGACCCAAGGTTTGAGATCCATTGGGTATGTCCCATTACCTGACAGTTGATAAAAGGTTATCTATGTTTGAGAAAGGCCTTTACTCATCACCGTCATCATCATCATCATCATCATCATCGTCATCATCCACTGTCCCTGGGAATGGGACGTGCTCAACAGGTGCACTGTTGACATCCTGGGTCCAACAAGACGATATGTTTACCAAAAACGCTTCTACTTCGCAATAATGGACACCAGCGACATCCGAACAACTCACTCCACTGAAGACTGCTGGCACACATCCCAACACCACCCACCATGATAGCATGGTTGACCAACCAAAGTCGAAAGCCAATCCAAAACCATGAAAACCAGAGGTGTCAGTCTCAAAAAAAACCCTGTGGTTATTTCAAGCCTTTGTGATCGCCTTTCTGATCCAACGCTTCTTCCACCTGGGCGGGTGGGAAGCGAGGTGGTTAAACCTCGCCTCCCCACCGTTCGACGCACCGTGTTCACAGCGTCGAGCGGATCCGAATGTTCGGGGGAGAGGATCGGAGAGGACACTTGGGCAAGGTGGACCCTGCGAAAGCTGACAGCTTTTGCTGCCCTGATTTTTGGAGCCGTGGCGGGTCTCCAAACTAAGAAAGCGTCGCCCGTTGGAAGAGCTGATCGTTGGTCACTGGAACCAGTTTGGGTCGTTGACAGTGCCACCGATTCTGATGAAATGATATGGAATGAAGTGTGCCACCGATTCTTGACAAACAACAACCAATCGAGAGGTTGTCTTTGCTTTTCAACTAGCTTGTTCCACCAAATAGGTGTGCACCGATTTTGCCAGCTGGGGGCTGGTTCATGTTCTTCATGGAGGAAGTTCTTCGGATAGCTGGTGCCTGATGTCTTCATCCCTCCTTTTGTCCTTCATCCCTCCTCAGCCCCGGCAGGTTCCAGCGCCTGCGGCGCCGGTCGACGGCAGCGGGTGGTCGCCTGCGGCGCCGTCGGGGCGTGCAACGCATCCACCAGGAGCGGGTTTTGGCGAATGAATGAACATCAAATGGCCTTCTTGTTACTAGCAGCTTGTTGCTCCGTTCGTAGTAAGGCCAGTTTCGCCCCGTTCGTAGCTTCTTGGATCCTCCAAGCGATGCCACGTAGCGATGGTGGACGGAACCTCCGTCGCGGATGCCCGTGCGACGTCGGTCCGTGCGTCGGGAGACGTGACTCCTGTGGTCGACGAGGCCTGTGGACAGCGAGGCTTGTGTGGGCGAGTCCTGTGGTTGGTCCCTGGGCAGCTGGTCCAGCTGCTCCCAGAGCTGTGGTGAAGGTGTACAGGAACGAAGCGTTCAGTGTGCCTTGGACGTTCTACCCATCGATGTCTCCCAGAGCACCAGGGACCGGGGGAGGTCCACGATGGTCCCTTTGTTCTTGGAGGATGGAACGTGTGAGAAAGGTGGGTTGTGTGGGAGGATTCTTGGACTGATTGGTGTTTTTGTGTGATGCCCTTTTCGGGAGATTGTGAAAAAAAAGGGTCTTGATTTCCGTGAGGAGGCGCCGCTCCACCTGGGGAGGCGCCGATCCACACACCGTTGGACCGGAGTGCTCAAGGGAGACAGTGAGATGGAGGGCTATGATCTCTGTAAGACTCAAACAGTCGTTTGCTGTAAGACGGTTGGAACTTCGATTTCAAGCTTGGTTTCTTGAAAAGGTTGAAACCCAAAGTCACTTAGACTTAGAACTTGAACTTCGAAAGCTACTAGTAGCTCCTGACCTTACTACTAGGAGCGATCGGACGCTACTAGGGGCACTCCTGGCCTTACTAGGAACAAGAAGCTACTAGTAGCTCCACTTCCCAGACGATCTCTGCGATCCGAGGCATTGATCCAGAGGGCTGTGGCACTGCACCCCCAACGCAACAGGTGCCGCATGACGTGCTGCCGTCACGCGGAAGTGCTTCGTTCATAGGGTCCGATCGCTCCGTTCGTAGTAAGGCCAGGAACCCCTAGTTGCGCCCTTGCTCCGTTCGTAGCGATGCCCGAAATGCTCCTAGTAGCTTCTTCTACCTGTGAGGTGAGGGTTGTTAGATTTTCAATCAGGATCCCTTCTTCTCTTTATCGCCTTTCAGGATCACTCGAAGTAGAGTAACGTTTTTCTTCACATCCGTGGGTGGCGGTTTCACACTGAAAGCTCCGCGTTCGGAATGTTGGTCACATCTGAGACCTCGAAGGGGCAAACCGTCAGGACACGGGGAGCATCCTAAAAGGATACTGTAGTTGTTCCAACCAGCGAGGTAGGGTGTTGACCTTGAGTATCACATTTCGTTTGAAGATTGGGATCTTCAATGTCTCTATGTGAAGCCTTGAAATTGAACAGTCGCGTTTGGTGCATCTTCCCTCCTGTAGCTTGGTGAAAAGCCCTCAAAAAACACCCTTTCGTGCACTCTGTCCAAGTCTGAAAAGGGCATGCTTTGTAACAAGTGCATTACTACTAGTAATCTACTAGCGATGCCTGGATACTGGTAGTAATGCCAGGAGCTACTAGTAGCTTCTTGCTCCTGCACTTGTTATACTAGTAGCCTCTAGTCCCAAAGAGACCTCCAAAGATCTCGGACTCTTCGTGTTCAACTGTTCGACAGGTCTGCTTTACGACGGAGTCGTGTCAGTGGCAGCTGGGCCCTTGGTCCAACTGCTCCGATGGTTGCGGCATCGGCTGGCGCTCCAGGGACATCCGCTGCGGCGACGCAGGCGAGGTGTGGAGTAGGAGTCTTGCTGGTAGCTTCTTGTTCCTAGTAGTAAGGCCCTTTGCTCCTAGTAGCTTCTTGTTACTACTAGTAAGGCACTTGTTACTAGAAGCGATGCACTTGCTCCTGGTAGCTTCTTGTTCCTAGTAGTACGGCCAGGAGCCCCTAGTACCGTCCTTGCTTCTGGCTAGAAGCCTGCATGCACCTGGAGTTGCTTGGAGGTTGGGTGGAAATCAAAACTTTCGACGTTGATTGGTTTGGCAGCACACATTTGAAAACTCTTACGTGGAATTGGGTGTGCAGCTGTCAGGTGTTTTTGCGTTTCTTTGCTGTGGCTTTGCGCGCATGGACCAACCTCTAGTACCCCGCAACATTTGGGGGCGGACGTTTTCAGGGTGCAAGGATCTGCTCGCAAGGGAATTCACTTTCTCATGGTGCTCAGTCCGTGGGTTCTTCCCCAAATTCAGCCCGCACTGAACAGGAAAAGGATTTAAAAAGAAGATGGGCTTTTCAAAGCAAGCTTGCTTCAGCGCTTTGAGCAACCAGAATCCGAAGACCCTCTATTGTTGCCCTCAAGATCTCAAGTGGCCGAACTTCTACCTCTCCTTCTCCTACCTCTCCGATCAAGCGATGGCCTCCGATCTACTAGCGATGGCCACCCTGGCCCCGCACGTCGCAGGCCTCGTGGCGGAGCACTGCCCTGCACCGCGGCCCGAGGACCGGGAGAGCTGCGAGGCGCTGCGGAGCAGGCGCAGCGGTGATTCAGAGAGCGGGCTGAGACCGTTTTTCCAGTCCAAGAAGCTATTAATTTAAATTAAATAGCTTTTTGTTACTACTAGTAAGGCACCTGTTACTACTAGCGTGGCACTTGTTACTAATAGCTTTTTGTTACAATGAAATTGGAGTGCGATGTGTCATCAACACAAAGGACGAGAAGCCCACAAGCGCCGGTGCATGTACGTGCCGACGTTCTTGGGTCTGTCTTGTCTGATCAGGGTGATCAGTCAAGACCGGCAACTCTCCAAGTTCCACCGGACATCCCAAGAGAGGTTAAGTGACCTGAACTAGGACCCTACTGGGGTACCTATGGGACAGTCTATAGGGTCATTCAACCTCTGTTGGTCTGTTTGGAAACACTCCGCATCGGAGAAGTTCCCGGTCCCGCAGGTCGCGTCTGGGCCCCTCCTGCGGTTGGACCACGGGCCTTTGGTCGGCCTGCGACGCGTGCGGGCCGCAACAACGGGAGGTGCCGCGTCACGGTGCTTCTTCAAGTGTGTGTGTGTGTGTCTGTGTGTGTTTTTCTTGTTGCCATTAGCCCGCCCTTTGAATGCAGTAGGCACCTACTTAATGAAGTGGTATGGGCGACGAGCTAGCTTCTAGTAACTGGACGCAGGTAGTTCACGCGCTTATGATTTGGTTCCTGGGAAACTAGGATAACGTGAGTACAAGAATAATAAAGAAGAAGCGTGCCGTCGCCGAAAATAACACGTGAGATGTCTAGGATAACTAGATGCACTATGAAAATGATGCCTCTTTGGTTCTTTCGGGTCTTTTTGAAGACAGTGACTGAGGTTTCAAAAGCGTAGGGGTAAAGGAATTTGCTGAAGATACCTATGAAGTAAGGAATTGTGATGTTTGATTGCGTTCGAGTTGAGATGCCATAGTTCCTAAAGGTTGACCAAAAAAAGTTGAGAAATTCGCCGCGAGCAGTTTGAAAGTCAACAGGTTTGAGATTGTTCACCACACGCGCGGAACGCACATCGCTGTTCGGATGCCTGTGGTTCAATCCGATCGGATGAGTCCAGACTCCCATGTCGCGATCCGCGGGGTTCACTCGGCCGCTTCGGCCACAGCCTGCCAGCACTTGCTACTAGCTTCTAGCTACCAATAGCAAGGTCCCAAGCCACTAGTAGCAACAAGCCACTCTTGTGGCAACGGCAAAGTCAAGAGCCGTTTTGGGTCTCAGGCCCTTTCGATTCAAACCGATTCTTCCAACTGTGCAGCGTTTTTCCTGCCATAGTTGGAAGATCTAGGTATGTTCTGTAGCAATCTTGATCAAGAATCTGGATTCTTTCAAGGCTGCCAGCTTTTCACCTCAAAAACCATCTCCAACTCGCCACCGCCTTGTCCCTTGACCCGTTGTAGCGCAAACGCCAGGTTTCGTGCCAGGGCAACTGCTTCGGCAAGCCACCCAGTGCCGTGATGCCCTGCCAGGCACGGGGCTCTAGTGCGTCTGGGTGTCGGTGTTGTTTCGTTTTCGGAACAAGAAGCTTCGTTCGAATGGAAGAGGGGTCACGTGGCACGTCCCTAAAGAGGTCATTTCGAGACTCCAAAGAGGCCACTTCGAAGGTGGTGGAGATTGGGAGAGGATCGAACGAAAGAACTAAGTGTCGAGAGGATGCCACTGGAGCTACGTTCGTAGCGTCCGATCGCTCCGTTCGTAGCGATGCCCCTTCTTAATAGTATACTAGCGTCTTGTTACTAGTAAACATGACGCAGTGAGGTGCAACATGAAACATGTCCCTGTTGAAGGGGATGGAAGGGGGGGGTCGCGCTGTCCTTTCCGACGATCCCTTTGGAAGAGTCCGTTCCAAGTCCTTTTGGCTGGAAGAAGACGCTCGCCGTGCTGAGGAAACATGTCTTGTGTCCCAACCTTCTGGAAGATTGATTAGGGTTGCAAGGTGGTAACAACAAAGGAGATGCTTCATAGACCTTCCAAGAAAAATTGGTCTTCGAAAGGTCTTTCTTCGTTGGGGAAGGTCACGCGAGTGACGTCGAATATGACGTGAATCACGCGTGCAGGAGGCTGGATGCCAGGAGCAAGGAAATGCCACCGCCAGGTGTGGAGAAGAGCAGTGTGGAATCACAGGGAATCGTGTGAAATTCCCCGATGGTATCCGATCATCAAAAACCTCTTCATATGCAGGTCTACTAGGTCTACATGAATCACCAGTCGAAAAATGAGTCGTATGAAGGGGGCTGTTGCCCACGCCGCACCCCATCGCGTTCTTCGAGGTCGGAACATCCGCGCCGCGCACGCGCCGCATGGGACCCTTTTTGAAGATACACGGGTCTGTCACGTGACCCACTGGAAGCGCCAATGGCATTAGATCTGTCCAAGGGGGGCAGAGCAGGATGGGTTTAGTTGGATGAAAGGCTATTGCTATAGAATTGATGGATCTACTGGCCAGCTGACTCCATTGCTGGCCGCCAACTGGGTCAACTGGAGGTACAGAGGTCACACTGGTAGCGGGTTGGGGCTTCCATACACCTGGTGATCTGGAGGCACTTGGATCACCAATGCCTGGGGAGAGGCTTAAGCTTCCCACTGGGCCACTGAGGCGGGTTTGGAGATCATGACCAGATGTTCTTTGGGACGAATTTTGGGGGCGAACTAAAATACCTCACATCCAGGAGTTTGGTAGGGTTGCCCTCGATTTTTGAGAAGCACCTATATGGACCAGTTGTTGCTCTTTTCGGATGCTTGTCCCATCTTTGGCACCTGGCATAAATCCCAATCCAGTGTCAACTCGACCCGGAGGGCCAGCGGGAAGAAAGAAACTGCCAGCCACCGCGAGATGGGGTCTAGCGACTCTAGCACCCCCCGGTTAACTTCTTGCCTTTCTTTCCAAACCTCGTCCTGCTCCTCCTTGCGTCCGTAGGTTTGACGTGGAACTTCTCATCGAGGACGTCTCCATGGAGCTCCTGTCGAAGCTGATTGCTGGCACGCGCCAGGCCGGCGACGCGAAGCGCCGGAATCCACGGGTGCTTCGCCGGAGGCGGCATGGGCGAATGCGGCGGCGAAGGCGGCGAATGTCGCTGTGGATGAGTGGTGTTGTTCACCCATGATCCAAGGAGTTGGGACTTGGAATGCAGCATGTGGCAGCATGGTTTTTTGGAGTGATCCGGTCTGGGTCATAGGACTTCAATATTTTTTTGGGCCCCTGGTTTAGATGTGCTTTCGCAGATTGACAACACTCTCTTGTTCATTGTTGAAGTTTGTTCTCCACAGATGGAAGGTCTCAGAGGCGAGCTACAAAAAACGTGAGGGGGTTCATGAGTTGCTTCTCAGGTGTACTGCACCATGTACACCAAGCATCAGCCTGGTTCTTCCAAATCCTGGCCTCACGATGCTGATCGCCCTGCCACGAACCTCCAAAGTTTGGAGTCCCGTTTCTCACGAAAACGAAGACGAGTCCCTCCGTCCACGTGGTCCTTCGCCCACCGGGGCGCACCGATCCCTCGTGATGGTCGTTCCAACGGTCGACCGATCGCACTCACGAGGACTCCGCTCTGCCGCGCCCTCGGGACAGCGCCACAGGGGGCGAACACCCGTCCCAGTGCTAGTAGTAACAAGTGCCACGCTACTAGTAACAAGTGCATCGCTTCTAGTAACAAGTGCCTTACTAGTAGTAACAAGAAGCTAGTAGAAATAATGGTTTCTACTAGCTTCTTGTTACTAGTAGTAAGGCACTTGTTACTAGAAGCGATGCACAGGGGGCAAACAGCCATCCCAGTGACGGCTTCTTGTTATGTTCGTAGTAAGAATGCTCCGTAGCGAGTCGCGAGGCCAGGAGCCCTGTTCGTAGCGTCCGATCGCTGTAGTAAGGCCAGAGCTCCTAATTAGTAGCTTCTTGTTACACCCCAGGAACTCCGCCCGACAGAAGTGGCCGAAGCGTTGCGGCTCCAGCGTCCCACACGGGCACCCCCGGGTCCACGGCGTGTGAAGTCTCGTGGGACGCCATGGTGACGGTGCAAACCAGTATCCCACCCAATTGGAAGAGGCTGGGAAGAGGGGAAGAAGTGGAAGGGGGCTCAGGTGGCTTGCATGGAGGTGAGCTCGTTTAGAAGACAGACGCCTCCCCCAAAAAAGGGGGACAAAGAGAATGGTCGTCACCCATGTTTTGGGGAAGGGACGTCTTGTTCATTCAAAGGGTCGATGGCACACAAGGATGAGCGCAAGAACACGGGCGGTGGAGAGGAGATGCCGGAGACCATTCCCCAGCATAGTTTGATGATGTTTGATGCATCATGTTCGCCCATTCGGTTCGAATCAAGTGGCCTCCCACATGGTACTTTCCTAAAACGCCACCCCACAAGACCCTGAGCATCAAGTTTTCGCCCTGCGCTCTTTTCCTCCCCGTCCACAAGACCAGTGTCCCCCCCTCGCCGCCGAATCCAGACGTTTGTGGAACGTCGAGAAACCCGTCAGGATCCAGGTCGTCACCCCAAAAAATGGAGAGAAAAACCTTCGCGGGAAAAGAAAGAAACCTTTAAAAGGTTTCTTTTTCGTCAAGGCTGTTGCACTTCGGTGCCCGTCGGTGCCCGTCTACCCCCATGTCTGACAATGAATGAATTCTACGAGCCGGCCTAATCGGGCGAGGCGATAGGAATCCTTCGCACCAGAGACCTGAGGTTCCTGTTGATGCACAAACAAGTGCCTTACTAGTAGTAACAAGAAGCTATTAGGAACAAGTGCCTCGCTACTAGTAACAAGTGCCTTACTAGTAGTAACAATGTTCGCTATTAGGAACAAGTGCCTCGCTACTAGTAACAAGTGCCTTACTAGTAGTAACAAGTTGGAATTAGACTTAAATTAGAATTAGAATTGAAATAGAATGCACCAGAGACCTGAGGTTCCTGTTGATGCTGACCATTTTTTACGGAATTGACTTCATCTACTACTTCATCATGGCCCAGATTGCCGATGTCGTGACCATCTATCCACCAGATGCTTGGAGTGGAGTGTTTGGTTGTCCTTTTCTTTTGACGTTGGCGATTGGCTGAAGGTTTTTGAAAGCAATGGAAGGTCACCTGGTTTCTGTGGTGAATTTTCCAGCTTAGTTTACCAGGAGTTTTGGAACTTGATATATTCGAGGCACGCGTTGGCCAGTTTGGTTTCCCAGCGAGGCGTTTAACAAAGTAGAGAAGCGCTTGGATCTGGGCGAACCCCCAGGTGTTTGACATCTCAACCTCTCAACACGACAGTTCAGGCCATTGGTCCTTGCGGTTGGAGATTTCGGGCCTCTCAAAGGGGGGACTTTTTCGGCTGAACGAGAAGCCGTCGTCGCCATTGCGGCTGAACGCGGCAAAGGCGAACGAAACATATGTTCACCGTTTTGGCCTTTCTTTGGGTCGCCACTGAGAGGTGGTTTCCGGAGCATGTTGATCCTGTAGGGCCGCCTAATACAAAGCGGACATCAAAGGTTCAGGCGGCACCCAGGTGGCCCTATGGCCCTATGGTCCAAGAAGTGATACATTTAATTGGATTCTTCCATCCACAGGCACCTTGTAAACCAGTTTGTTCAACTACCTGGATCTTCCCAGCTCAAAGAATCACCTGTGGGAGTGACTCATCGCCGAGCGCCACCGTCGCTGTGCTGCGCCTCAGGAGCTCGTGCAGAATGCAGCCGTCGTGGCTAGGGCGGAGAGGGGAGAAGGGAGGGAGGTGTTCCGCTTCAGACGACTGACTAGGGAACCTCACACATCAGTTCACACATCATACTAGGTCTCTCCCTACCAGGTTTCAGTGGATGATGGTGAGCTTGTAGGCCTTTCTCTAAAATAGGGATGTTCTTGTTTACTGACTGTTACAGGTAATAGGACAGACCCAACATAGTACACGTCTATGATTGCCATGGTTTGTTGCTTCGCCTTTTTAATATGATCAATGATCAGTACTAATTGCAGACTGGCTGCAGGGTCCCCGTAAAGAAAAGAGAACAACGTTTGCTGCACACAGAGTTGCTTCAACAAACCACTTATCCAGTCAGTAGGTCGCATTTGGAAAAACAAAACGCTCACCTTTCTCCTGAAACATGAACCCCGGTGGAATGCGAGGGGATACCAGCTGCTTAGACTCAACCAATTCTTCAGCTATCGGATCCGAAAGTGGAAAACAAAGCTCAAAACGAACGAACCACAAAAATAAACATCGAAGCGATGACCTTCCACCGATCTCGGTGCCCATGGGGACCCGTCCAGAACACATCAACAACCTAGACCATGCACCAGTGAAAAACTCCTCGTCAAGCGGTCTGAATCTACGGATTTCATGGGTTGAATGATTCCCCCACAAATGACCACAAAATTAGCCCCAGGTACGCTAACCAATTTCTCCAGTTCGTTGGAAACCATCGCGGTTCGTCGCTTGGTGTCGCGCGCGGGCGGGGGTTCGCGGTTCGTCGTCTCTTCCCAAGGGCTTCGCGCCGCTCTCCTGGACACCGGTGGTTCTGGCCATGTCCACGGGTGAAGGCGTCACGAAGCGCCTCGGTGACGCTACCCCACCGCGGCCGGACACGGGCCGTGCGACGCGGCGCGCGCGAAGCGGGCGGACGCGGTCGTGACCGTGTTGGAAGAAGCTGGAGAGAAACTCCGGGCAAAGCTGGTAGCGATGCACTTGTTACTAGTAGCCCTATTGGGAAGCATGTCGGGAAAATTTTGGGAAGAGACGGCCTAGCTTCCAACCAACTAGCGATGGCCTCCACATCCCAAAGACATCCAAAGACCCCTTTTGCTGGGGTGGCAAAAAAATGGCTCCTGTTGTGAAGCACGGGACATGTGAGCCGTTCGAGTCTTGCCCCCGCCAAGTGGCTGCCGAACACTGGGCCCAGTGGTGATCGCTCCCGAAACGCGTCCTTCGCCGGCGTCCGCTTCGGTTTCGCTTCGGTTCGGAGCCGAGGTGGGATTCCGCGGCCTTTGGCGCGTACATGAACTTCTGCAACGGAGCGATCGAAAGGGGGACCAAAACGAAGGGTTGGGGAAATCGGGTGAACTGGAGAAGGGCGAAGAGTTCCTCCCCACAAAACCAGAAGAAAGAAGAACAGCTACACTTCCTGAAATCATGTAAGTGGAGTTCACCACATGTTTGGTATGAGGAAGACTGCTCATCCGAGTCTTCGGGCTTTGCCATCCACGTCGTCGGCCATTTCGTGTGTTCACGGCAACGATCGGCCTCAGCTGACGCCGGCTTCAGCCAGCGGTGGCGTGTGCGGGATGTTCGTCCAAAGCCATCGTTTTGGTTTCAACGACTTCATTGTCCTTTGATGAATTGATGTTGAAGCTGTGCGAGCTCAGCAAAACTGGAACTATCTGGAACTCAAGCACTGTAGTTTACAGTAGAGGTGAGGTTGTCGTCACTGAGAATGGGGTCCGGTGAGACTGAAGTTGGCGAGACTGAGATGGATTGTCTGGCCTTTGGGGGTTCGTACAGCTGCAAGACATCGTCGTTTGGTTCGGATTTTGTTTTTTTGTCTCTGAGTATTTGATATTAGAAGGGGCATCGCTACTAGGAGCAAAGGACATCGCTACTCGGAGCGATCGGACGCTACGTTCGGGGCTCCTGGCATCGCTACTAGGAGCAAGAAGCTACTAGTAGCATCTCCATGTGTCTTTTCGACCTCCGGATGACCAAGCAGTTCCTAGGCATTTTCGCGTGCTTTCAGGGCACTGCTTTGGTCTTCTTCGAGGTCTACCGCAGTGCGCCACTGGGCACATCGTCCGGTCGGATCGCGGCGGACACGGTCAAAAACCGTGCTTTGGAGCAGAAGGAGATCCGACCCACGCTTTGAGGGAATGTCCTGAGATCATCTGAGATCCACGAGCTTCTTGTGTACTCACTGGCAAACGCATCCTGCTTGGTCCAACGAACTAAGAGTAGCTACGTGTTCCGCTCCTAGCGTTGCCCTTGTTACTCGCAGCGTCCAATCGCTTCTAGTACTAATGCCAGGAGCTACGTTCGGTTCGCGCTCCGATCGCTCCTACAGCTTCAACGCCCGTGTGGAGGCGGTTGGAATGGCTCGTTCTAACTGAGGCCGTGGTACACGCCAGTGATCGATACCATCTGGGGCACCTTCTCAGGTGGGCGGTCAATAATCGGTGTTGGAGGTCGGAGGGGCTATGACTTGGACAAAAAGCTCCGTTCGTAGCGTTTGCTCCGTTCGTAGCGATGCCAGGAGCCCCGTTCGTAGCGTCCGATCGCTCCGTTCGTAGTAAGGCCAGGAGCCCCTAGTTGCTTCTTGCTCCTAGTGGTTTCGAAGTTGGACCTGCCATCCGAGTTCTTTTGTGGGCCTATTTGTGAGAGCGGAAATTCTGATGGGGGAGCTATATGGTTTTGGGAGTCTGGATGAGAAGAAGAGAAAGACGTGCATTGAATCAAATACTTGTCAACTGACAAGCAAAACTGACCCAACCGCGAGATAGCAGCTCTAGTACCTTGGCCAGTGAAGAAGATTTCTGTGGCTTGGTTCCCAGCTTGAAGCGTTTTCTTGCGGACTCGGTGTCGTTCGGCGGCCGGCTTGCGTCAGACTCAGGTGGATTGACCTGCCTGCTGACCCACCTCCTGTGGGAGAGATGTTGCGGCTACAGCAAAATGGAGTTGGGCAGCAGCCCATGATGGGCACCTTCAGCTTGGGTGCCTCGCTGCACCGGCTACCGAACCTTCTCACCTCCAGGCTCACTGTGACTGCGTGAAACGCCGGTTCCGTCGGTTCGGCGCCGATTGTCGGTCGGTCCGGTGGATCAACTGGGTCGATGTAAGTAGCGACTTCGCCCAAGGGGTACATCATGGTTTCAACCAAGAAGCTACGAACGGAGCAAAGGGCATCGCTATTAGTAGCTCCTGGCCATACTACTAGTAACAAGAAGCTACTAGAAACAATAATTAAGCTACTAGGAACAAGTGCATCGCTTCTAGTAACAAGTGCCATACTACTAGTAACAAGAAGCTACTCATCATTCCATCGAAGAGGTGTGCATTCGTGCGTTTCGACCTGAATTGGATCCCATCCCAGATACCTCAGAAACCAGTGACCAGGAACCCTAGTTCCATCTAGCAATCTCGTTCCACCAAGAGAAAAAGGTCCTAGATAATAATAAATATATATATATATGTATTAAAACTAGCTAGAAACTAGTAGGTTGGAGGTCATCGCTACTAGTGTGGAGGTCATTACTACTAGTAGCAAGGACGCTACGTTCGTACAGATGTGTGCCTTGTTTTTCGACATGAAGAACCATTTCAATGTCTTCCCTCGTTGCTCTCCCTGTGGATCCACCGGTGGAATTCCCGTCCTTTCCCGTGGCCAGGGCGGTGTCGAGCTGTGGAAGATGTCAGTCCTGATGATATTTCTTCAGGTACTGATTGGTCAGTCCTGATGGAAAGCTTTAAGTCTCGGAAGGTTTCTGACGAGTCTCACTTTCGTCAGATATTGGGTCTCTAAGTCTCTGGACGCCGAGAACCGCTCGCGGTTCTGTGCGAAGCTTCCAGTCAGCATCGAGTCGTTCGCATGACATGATCCGAAAGGTTCGAACGTTCCTCGAGTCGTTGGGCCACGAGGTTTTGAGCCCGGGGGAGTAGGCCGAGGAGGTAGCTAGTGGAAGAGAGGTAGCTACTTGGAACTTGTTCGCTCCTGGCTGGGACGCAGGATAGCTCACGCTTCTTCAAGGAAGCTCCCGCCTGAGGGCAGGGGGGAGCTTCCTTGAAGCAAGCGCTCGCGCTACTGATTTGGTTCCTAGATTTTTCGGGAAACTGAGGTTTTGTTATGTTTTGGTCCACCACATCCTTGCAGTGGATTTGAATCCTAAAAGAAAGCGGTTGGAAATACCTTGACTAGCCAAAAAATCAACTTTCCCTTTGAATGCATGTGGACCTGCCGCGCCACAGCATCTCTGTGTTTCCCTCAAAGAGCCCTTGAGAGCCGGTCATGACGCCCCTGAACTGAAGCTTCCATCGTCAAGCTTCCATCGTTGGTCACGTATCAGGCACGACCTGTTTCAGTGACCCTAGTAGGAGAAAGGTGCGTGGAATGCTGCTCCATTCTTCGTCCACATACCTCACCCAGCGAACTCTTGCCTGCACCATTTTGGGGCACGGTTACACGCAACTTTGTGACTTCGCAACAACGGATGGATAAGATGTAACCATATGCTTCACCGGTGGGTGACCATCGACGGGAGTGGCGAAGTGGCGGACCCGAAGAGCTTGTCGTCACGTTCGACGGGGTGGTGTGGCTTTTAGTCCCCTTACGTGAGTGGAGGTGACAGGGGCACCCAACTCCTACCTCCGTTCGTTCGGCACCCCGTCGAACGTGACTGGTCGATCCTTCTTTCAACTGCTGAAGGGAAACTCTTGACACGAAAAATATTTGCAGAGAGGCATAGCCCATTGGGGTCTTTAGTCCAGGAAGAAAGCACAGACATTGGGGGAGGAACTGGATGCTGCACACGAAAGAGGTCGGTCTGCATGTAAACGAGTCGAAGTTGGCAGTCCGCTAGTTCTGAAGGCCCCATACGGAATCCATGTGGGAGGGGAATTGGGAAGGTTCAACCTAGTAGCGATAGCCTCCAGGATCCATAGGGTTGGTGGCTGACACGTTTAACGTGTTTGTTCTGTTTTGCATGGAGGTGGTGAATTCGGTGTCCGGTTCTTTGTTTGGATCAGGTCAATAGTATGGTCTTACCGTGTTCCCTGACCTCACAAACTTCCATGCACCTTTCACAGGGTGTCCCCAAACTGGGACACTCCGGCTGTGCTGCACAGCGCACCACGCTGGACGGAGCGCGGAGGAAAAAGGCCGACGGACCGCCGGGGGTCCACGCGGGTGGCATACGGGTGGCATGTCCGGGCTTCAAAGACACGAGTCGGCTAAAGGCATGTCTATTGAAATGTGTTTCTGTTTAGTAGGTGTTTTTTGTTATGTGTCATTATTACTTGTTGTTTGGTATTTGTTGTGTGTTTTTGTCTTTCTACCTTTAGACCTGTTCTGTTCTTTTCTTCACACTGTTTGGTTCCACAAGAATCCGGCAGACTTGCGTGGCCGCCTGGCAGCGCAGAGCGTGCGCAGGCCGTGGCCACGATGCTGGCGGTGAGCATCGAAGAGGTCCAGGTGCCCGAGCGGACGAGAAGAGCGGGAGCTCGAGGAGCGGCGACCGAGCCACCATCCAAAACACGGAAAGCTTGGTGCTTTGAGGGCCGCGGATTCCTGTTGAAAGGTGATCTTTAGGCCACAGAGATTGGTGGCAGGACTCCTGCAGGACATGTTCAAATCATTTGACATCTTGGCCAATCTTGGCTGAAGAGCCTTGAAGGAGCCTTTGAAGAAAAGGCCCGCTTCTGCATTCTTTGTGCACATTCTACTGCCAGGTTGCTGTGAAGAAATCGCGATCGCTGAGATGGGGTTCCAATCTTCACCAGACCTTCAAACCATTCGAAACCCCGTGTACATGCAATGCACCCCGTGTACATGCATTGCAAAACGAAATTGTATTTGGACCAACAAACATATGGTACAAACATCTTCTTCCGCTCCCTTGGAAGATGGTCTCCAGCGGATGAATCTGTCCAAGCAATCGAACATCTTTGGAGGTCAAAAAGCATACTCTCCCTGGAAATGAATAGCTCATGCAGAAAAAGAGGTGCCAAGTTTCGAGCGACCGTAGCTGCTAGCACTCTATCTCTTTCGTTCAACCTTCTTTCGACACCACGGAACCTGACGGAACCTGATTGGTGTGGAAAGCATCCGGAGTTCCATTGATATGATTTCCGGGCTGCTCCAGTGGTCGATGATGTGGCACATTCCTTCATGGTCGAGGATCCATGTTGGTCTTGAGCGAACTCGTTTGCTCACTTCATACGATGACTTACATTTTTACCACTTTTCATTTGGTCTCGTCCAACATCGAAACAGTTCACTCCAGCAGAGCCGGTTGCACAGGGCTCCGGCTCGGGGGAAGTCGTGGCAGGTGCCTCAGATCACACCGGCTAAAACGAGCCACACCAGCCAGGTCCCATGTGACTCCAGGCTCCATGTCGTAACTCCTTCGTCTCCACAGACGCGAAGGGGGCGATCGGACGCATCGCCTTTAAAGAAGGTTCGGAAGCTCCGGTGGTTTGGGACTCGGGACCCCTCACCAAGTCCCGCTGTGTGGCGAGAAACCGACAGGTGAAGTTGGTGAACGACACCAAGTCCCGTGGGCGCCGCTTGAGCACGCGCTTGAAGCTGGAGGCGACCGTCGGTTTGCGCACGCGCTGAGTGTTCGGACTCATAAAGAATGTCACGGATGTCAGCTTTGTGCCCCCTGATTTGGGTGAACAACGCTGTCAGCTGCTTGGCCTACAGACCAGACCTCTCTCTCTTCCTTTCGCCAGTGCCTGGATTCAAACTGCATGTGGTGACATGCCAGATTTCCCACTTTTGAGGTGGATTTCAGGGGGGCACGCCATTCCCTGAAATTGTTTTTTGACGAACCGTATAGGTCGACTATGATCAGTTCTCGGCAATTCCATGCCCGTAACGGTGCAAAGCGGATTGCAGCTGCGGGAGGGCGCTTGGTGTTCCATGGGTATGTATGGCAACTGTGCTTGCTATACCAGAGCTGGATAGCCAAGTGAACAAGACTGGCAACTTGTTGTAGGGGACAACATCAGATCTTGGAGTCCGCCGTTTTCCGCCCCTTGGCCGTGACCCCTTTGGCCACCTCTTCCGTTGGGGGCGTGGTCCGGGGTTCGACCGGAGGCGACGGAAATGGAAAGGGATCTAATAGCGATGGCCTCCAACCTACGATAGGAGCAGAGTGGTTGTCTTTTTTGGTTGTCTTCCTCGCACAGCGTTCAGGGACAGTGTGGTGTGTTTGGAATTCGTTCATGTGGAATTGAACATTGCGGCAGTTGTCATAGAGTCAGGTGTCATATCAAGTGTTCGGCGCCGTTGATGAACCCTGATGAACCCATATGAACCCATCCACTGTTCAGGTGGAGGTCACAGGAAGCTCCACCGGCATCGCAGTGCTGAACTCCCAACAGGGTCAGGAGCACCGTCGTCCGGCCGGAGTAGGACATGGAAAAGGATCGGTTTTGCGGAGAGATCTATTGAACCCCAGGGCGGCTTCCGCAGAGTCCAACGCCTTTCCTTTGACCCAAGTCAGCAAACAAGTCAGCAAGTCCAACGCCTTTCCTTTTTGCCAAAAGAAGGGTTTTCAGGTTTTCCCCTTGGGGAAACTTTGCATTCGACGGTGAGCGGGTTTGGTCGATCGCCTCGACCCCCCATCGGCCCCATCCGCTCTGTCCGACCGGAGGAGCTGTTGGAGACGGAGCTTTTGGAGACTTGGGACGCCCAAGGCTTGCCACTGGAGGACTTCAGTGTGGCCTAGCAGCCATTCGATGCCATTCGCTAGGTAGGGTGGAGGCCATCGCGAATAGGTCTTCAGTGTGGCCTGATGAAAAGCACGACGGGGAGAGATGGATCAAGGTCTTCCGCGGATCCAACCGCGGTGGTCAGCGGTGCTGGATCCGCCACTGTTCTGATGCGTGGGGCTGGTGTTCAAAACCGTGGGTTCGTCTGAAGGGCCATCTTTGGAGTTGTCGAGGTGTGGAGAGCCTGGTTTAACAATCCTGTGTTTGGGCGAAAGAGTGTTTCTGCGTTTCGGGACTTGGCATGTTTTGACCGATGCTCGCTTTTTGTGCACCAAAAAGCTTGTTTTTGTTTTGATCGTGACCTCAGCACCACGAAGACTCTGCCCCTTTCGCCGGTGAAAGATTCCATGCTAAAACTCGAAATCAGCAAAACTGATTCATGCAGTAAAGCAGATTCAAGGCCAGGAGCCCCTTGCTCCTCGTAGTAAGGCCAGGAGCCCCTAGTAGCGTTCTTGCTCCTAGTAGCAAAACTGATTCATGCAATCATGTCCGGGTGTTTCCCTACCCTGACAAGTGTAGCACCCAAAACCCGTCGCTGATGTCAAAAAGTGCTTTCTGCATTGTGAAAGGAAACCTGCAACAAAGCATAACAAACCTGTATATGTCGTGTTTGTGATGTATTAGGAGGCCGTCGCTAGATGTGTCTTTTGTTGCATGGTTTCTCCACTAGTTTCAGAAGATCCCTTTCTGTGAGGCTCCCAGGATGGACGAGCCCCTCGCACCGAGGTCATGCTGGGCCCCGTAGAGACGCTTGCAACCGGCTCGACGACCACGTTGGAGGGGTGCGCAAAGCCAAGGATGACCGGACTGCTGCTGGACCACTTGGGAAGGTGGTAGGTCCTAGAAATACCTGTGGATGGAGTGGCACTGGGAACTTGGCACTTCGAACTTCGAACTCAGCATTTGCTCAAGTTGCTGACTCTTTTAGGCTTGCCTGAAGATGGAGTCTCGCTACTAGGTGTAGGTGGCCTTGGGACAAGTTTCCGACTCCAACAAGACTTGTCCCATTCCCATCCCAAGCCTTGGCTTTGATTTGAAACCCCCATGCACCCCATCATGCGGAAGCACGTGCGTTTGTGTGTCGTGATTTTCGTTCCACGCTGAGGCCTGAGCAAGTGGAGCAAAAGGATCCTTCCAACATCTCGAGTCTAGTGATGGTCGTGGGGAAACCTTGCCGGCAGTTGCTTGGGTGTTGAGAGGAGAGAGAAAAGGATGTAAGTACCTGGTTTTGAGCAAATTTTGGTCGACCACCGTTGTCGCAGATTTTAGCACCAAACCTACTGGTTTCGGGCATGAAACGTGCGTTTGACCTGGTTTTGAGCATGGCTGCATTTATGGGGACACCAAACATTCATGGAATCGAACAATACAAATCCATTGAACAACAATTAACTCAGCACAACTCAACAGAAGTCCTGAGGAAGAATGTCTGCAAATCCTCGGCCGGCATGAATCCAACTTCACAAGATCCAACTTGACATATTGACTTACACAGGCGTAAAGGACTAGGTCTAGTGAGTCTAATGACTAGGTTCAGAAGACTTGCACACGCTCGACTAGAACGAACGCAAGCTCCACATAGCTCCACAATTTCGAACCAAACCAGCTTCTTGTTTCTACTAGCTTCTTGTTACTACTAGTATGGCACTTGTTACTAGTAGCGATGCACTTGTTACTAGTAGCGTGGCACTTGTTTCTACTAGCAAAGTTCCTGCTCCACTGACCCAGCTGAGTTACAAGCCAGTTACGGGAACTCCGAAGGAGACGAAGCAAGGCCACGTTCTGCGAAAAAAGCGAATGGGACGAAGCAGGTGCAGGAGCCCCGTTCCATCCTTGCTCCTAGTACTAAGGCATGCTGGTTACGACATGGACAGGAGCAGTCGGATCAAATGCCGAAGACTTGCAGCCGATTTTTTTTGCAGGAAGAGAATTGTCCTTGTCTTCAGAGGACTGCCACGAGGCGACTTGGAGTGCTTCAACGGTGGCAGCTCAGGGCAAGTCCTGTTGAAGTGCTCGTCCGTTGCTGGCCTTTGAGGCTTCACAGCTGGAAGAATTCACAGCTGCGGTTTGCCTGTTTCCATTTCGAAAAGCAAGTTGGATTCCACCTAGTAGCTTCTTGTTACTAGTAATGGTCCGGCTGGTTGCCATCCAAAAGACCAAGATCAGCTTCGCCAGAGGGAGCTTTGCAAAGAAGAATGCCATTGCGCCAGTTCTGCAACCCTTCATGCAATCTGCGCAGTAGTCAGATGCACAGGTCGCCAAAGGAAAACACCGAACTTGCTTCATGCAGTGAACATCATGCAACTACTAAAAGTTGAAGAGGCCAACCATTCGAACACCATTTCATACCGGTTCTCCAGTGAAATGTAATCGAAGGAATTCATTTCGAGACGCACGAGACCCCAAAAACGCATCTTGGACCGTGTATTTTGGTTCAAGTTGTTGAAAAAATTACGGTCTCAGACTTAAAGATGAAAATGGTGGACTGCAGCCATTGATTCACTCACGCCCCTCACTGAGATTGGGGGGTAGTGAGAGCCCAAGGGATTTTCTGAAAGTGGAACTAAAAAATGGATCCCAAACCCATCGAAGTTTAGGAAAATTTTAACCCATCGAACCTCAGAGACCCGGCTCGTTGCTTCTGTTTCCAGTGCCGGCTGGTCGAAAGAAGCATCCATTTCACTTGTTATAGCTGGTATCCATCTCCGGGCTTGGGTGTAAAACACCAAGCACTGCCAAGTTTGGAAGGTTTGTCACCTGTCGGCAGAGCTGACCCCGTACCCTACCACACCATGCAAGATCCCAAAGATGGCTCGAACCGTATGAAGAACTGCTGAAATTCAATTCTTTCCTTTCTTGTTTCAGAAATTGTCGGAATTGTTCTACCATGTTCTACCCATAGGTCCGACAAATACCAAGGTTTCATCTATTCATCTAGCATTTCCATCAAAAGGCGCTCCCCCAGTTAGCTTCTGCCAGGGTCGTTGGATCCAGCGGGACTGTTGCATATGAATGGGGACTTGAAATGGTGTATCCGACTGTGAATCGGGTGATGGGTTCACCCAAAAGCAGAAGTGCCATTCTCCCTCCGTGCGCCCCACAGAAAAGGATGTCCACCTGGGAATTCAAGAAAGATGCGCATGGTTTTCTGTGTGAACGACGGGTGCAGCGGGATTCTCCTGATGTTTCCCCAAAGACCACGTGCACATCGTGCGCACATAGGTGGTGGTGCTTCTCACCCTTTGCTGTTCGGGCACGATGGGCGCCGCCCGGTCGCACCAGTTTGGGCGAGGCTTCGACAGGAGGCGCCACAGAGCTTGATCGGCCGAATAGCCATGGTCTCCAACCTAGAAGCCATGGTCTTCAACCTAGTAGGAATGGCCTCCAACCTTGTAGCGATTGAACTTGCCTTATACTCACTTTTAGATGGTTACTCGGGTGACCAAAAGGTCCGACTGTGTTCAGACTGCACCACCTAAAGGTCATCATCTAGTGACCACATGCGACGTTTGCACCACCTCTTTTCGGAAAAATCACGAGAAAAGGGATGCAAGGTAGTTGTTACCCAGGTGTCCGGTAGGCACCGTGAGTTGACTCACGATGTCCAGTCATCGAAAGTTGAGTGGACTCACCGACATGAAGCGATGACTTCCACCTTCGACGTGCGCTGCGAATCGGCTCGGAGAAGCTCCCAGGGAGCCGGGTCACTCGGAGCGACCAACGGGAGTTTTCCCTGCAGGCTTTCTGCTGGTCGATTTGAGATGGAAGATCTTGGTTTCAGGAGTCGCCCTTCGACCTCTGGTCGCCCCGGTCGTGTCTTCCGGTCGTGTCTCGCTGAAGGTGGCCCTATGCGTATGTAAAGAAATTCATGCCATCTCAGAGTCTCCGGCACGGTGTTCTGGGATTCCTGGTGCGACCGTATTGGATGACTTTCTGATTGGAGCGAGGCCATCTACTGCTTCTGCTGGCCACTGGTCTTCACGCTGGGAGTGCGCGGCGTTTTGTGCGGTTTTTGGTGTTTCTTTTCCCACGACATTGTTCCGTTCGTACGGCCAGGAAACCGCCCTGTTCGTAGCGAACCTGGTTTGGTGAACGACGGAAGCTTCGGGTGTCTGGGGAACGGAGCAGATGAGGACGCAAGGCCAGATCCATTCGCTGCGACCGACGGGTGACCAATCCTGCGATCCGTTCGCTCATGGTGTTTCTCTTCGTCTATCCAAGAAACGGGGAAGTGAAAGCAAACCTGTTTGTGGAGGAGTTCATAGTCTTTCCAGGAGCATTTCTCCATGTCCATGCTTGTTAGATGGATGGCATACATCCCAAAATCTGTGTGATCGTTCTCGAAAGACTAACATATAGGACACCTGAGGTAGTCCTTCAACATGCTTCAGGTCCCGCTTTTCGATCACCTTTCTTCACACTAGTGTCTTCACACTCACCCCTTCTGCCCCGCACGAACTCGGCCTAAGCTCGCTCTCGCTTGACGAGGTCCAAGGGCACCTCCGTGGTGCCTCAGAGTCCCCTCGCTCTGCCCAGCTCGCCGCCGCACCAGAAATCAGGCGCGCCATGCGCCATGCGCCATGCGCCGCGGCAGGTGATGAAAGGAAAGGAACGGAAAGGGTGCCGAAATGTGATCGATAGCTTGACAGGATGCTGGTATTTACACCGGAGATACTGGTGAAATTTGCGGTTTTTCGGTTACCAAACGCTGGGACGAAGGAGTTGTTGCCTGTACCTCGAGTAATTGAGGGACTGTGCATCGACGGCTATGCCGAGGGCGAGATGTCCGGATGAGAACGGAGAAATCATGGAGAGGTCCACCTCTGAAAATTGTTACTACTAGTAAGGCACTTGTTGGAGAGGTCCACCTCTGCAGTGAGATTCCAACCATTCATTTCAATGGCAATCCCGAAGAAGAGCCAGGACGCTACGAACGGGGCTCCTGGCCTTACTACTAGGAACAAGGACGACTAGGAACAAGTGCATCGCTTCTAGTAACAAGTGCCTTACTAGTAGTAACAAGAAGCTACTAGGAGCAAAGGGCCTTACTACTACCTTGAGTCTCCAAAGACCTTTTATTTCCGCGTTTTTGCTTTTGGTCTAATATTTTTGCGTTTTTGCTCGAAAAACGCGTTTTTAGAGATGAGGACTCAAAAAAAGGTGCAGAGTGAATCTTCATCCGGACGCGTCCGGCACGGACGCTTAAAAACGCCTTTTGGACGCAAAAAGACGCGTTTTGGACGCCGAAAAAAGGTCTCAGGACACTGTCTAAGGAGGATCTGACAGGGCACAAACAAAAAAGGAACATTTCGTGACATATGCAAAAAAGAGTGCTTTCTTTCAAAAACCTCTTTTTCTTGGAAAGGCAAATTTAAAAGGGTCATTGGAGACTCAAGGTAGGAACAAGAAGCTACCAGCAAGACTCCTACTCCACACCTCGCCTGCGTCGCCGCAGCGGATGTCCCTGGAGCGCCAGCTTCTAGTAACAAGTGCCACGCTACTAGTAACAAGTGCCATACTAAAACCAGAACCTTCTGTGCCACGGCCCGCAGGCGAAAGCCTGAAGAGTCCCACGGGAGGCAACGGAAGCGCTACCGATGAGCGGTGTCCGGAAAATTGGAACACCATCACCTGACAAATGGTGAGTCTTCTTGTTGTTTCTTCTTCTTCTTCTTCTTC